GTTGGACTCGATGACCTCTGAGGTCCCTTCCAACCTTTGGCATTCTATGAGTCTATGATTGGATAATTCATACTTAGTTTGTATAAGACCTGCAGTTTTCTTCAAATTCAAATCACAGCAAAAGCAGTCAGGTTCTGCAATAAAGGGTATCATGGGCTCTGAGAGCACTGCTGATAATGTTCTGGAGCGTATCTGTGGTAGGACGATTAGCTATAGGAAATTAAACATACCACTTTGTCATGCTGACTCTTTTCTTATCAGGTGCAGATTTTTCAGCCTTGTACAGAGAATATTTTGCATCCCTACCAGAACCAAGACTTTTTAAGCTTCCAATAGCTCCATCTGCTGTTGTTGCTACACTTTCTGCTTTTACTTTTTTTTTATACTGCTTTAACTTTCAGTTAAACTCATTATATATATATTTTTTAAGATTTTGTTTTTATAAATATAAGACCTGTATAAATAGAAGACTTGTAAGACTGGCTTTCTCTTTTAATAGAAATGATGCATAAATCCTAAAGCAGTTAAAGGTGGCCCCAAGGCCACATAAATGAGAAGATTAGAAAAATGGGAATTGACGACTGCAGTTCAATTGGCATTCAAGTTTAGTAAATTAGAGTTAAAAAAAAAAGCAAAGCAAAGTCCAGTGTGGGTATCAGGCTATAATTTCATCATGACTGATATCAGATCTATATGTTACTGGATCATTTCTGATCCACATCAGACAGAAGCACGTGATTGTACTTCTGTCAAATTATTTGGGTCACATGTTACAGAGTTGATGCTGGTTGCGCACTGACCATACAGCAGATATCTGTAAGGCCTGGCAGAGCAAGGTTAACCTGTCAATATTTCTGACAGGTATGAAATGTCAGAAGAAGCCCTGTCATCATTTAGCATTGTAGCATTGTGTGGTCAAGACTTTTTATATCCCATACATAGAGGCATCCTTGACTCCGGTGAAAATGAAGGAAAAAAGACAGCAATCAAGACCTGCTCTTGACTCCAGCTCCTGCTGAGCACAGAGAAGGATCATGAGACGTTCTGTTGAGGCACTGAAATACTGAACTGAAAAAAGGAAGTGAAAGACTGACTTCTATGTCATGTGAGAGAGGATCATTTACAACAACTTCCAGTATCCTGTGAGGAACTGCCAGGTACTGGGGAGGGCAGAGTGTGTGCAGAAGCTCAGGGGTGCAGATGCCCCTCCTGGACACCCATCCTGGTTGCTGCCCGGCCCACGTTACAGTGAGACACAGATGATGCCTGACGCAGACACAGGCTCCTCCTCTTCTTCACTGTCCTGAGATGAGAGAACAGGAAACCTGGCACCTCRGACAGTGAGAGGGCTGTAGCATACCAAGGTACACAAAGGATGTCTGTGGGATTGAGACTTCGGGACATGCATGAAGGGCACAGTGTAGATACTGATGTGAGACCTAACAGACAGACGGAACTGCTGATCAACTTCCCACCTCCCTTAGTAAATCCATCTGCCTTGGACATCCTGCTTGGAAGGGAGATGTGCCGGTAGAATGCAGAAGCACTTCCTGGAACCTAAGAAAGAAAGACAAAAAGCTAGTTTTTATAGCTTGCATTTAATAGTAATTTTCTTCATGGACTGCACTGCAGTTTATTAACCTTTTCACCTTGAAAGCTTTATTTTAAAAAAGCACATTAACATCTCACCCAGCTTTTGTAGGATTTCATCAATAAAGGAGCTAGAGTGTAAGGAACTGTTTTTTCCAGCAGTGCCACTGCTAGAGCCATGGCATCCGGCTCCAGAACAACACTGCTTGGCTGCTTTTTGGTGAATTGCTTTGTGAACAGCTGATCACCTTTTATATGAGCTACTCATGTTTTGAAGCCATAAAACCATAGGCTTTAGACATATCAGCTAAAAACAAACATGTTAAACTCAGTTCTACATGTGTGATTTCCCTTTTTGAGACTTATGGAAGTGGATATATAAAATTCTGTTAAATACACAGATTTTCATCTAGTATTTCTTTCAAAATGAGTAGCGCACATTTCACGAGCTCTGCAGGAGTTGTAATACATCAGCTTACCCACCTAGAAAAGTTACTCCATCGAGCTGGCATTTTTGAGGGGAGGCTGAGAGGAACATGATATAGCAGCTGGCATAAAGTTTTCCTTTATGCTCAAGAACACTGAATTGCTCTCCTTGAGGCAAGAKGACATCTGCTTGCAGTACAAAGCCACAGGAGTCTCTTTTAAGTCTCCTCTGTCTTCCCTCTCCATTAACTCAATTTATGAGGGTGCTTTAGGGAGCATTCTAYAACCAGGGTTGGAAGCAATAACTTTTCTGCTGTCACCGGTTTAACGTCTTTACTCTCTGTTTTACATATTCCACAGTCTTACTTTGACCTTGTATGTACTTTAAATGAGGGAATTAATGGATCAAGCTTGACGTTTAGAAAAGAAGTAAATTTGATTCTCTCTTCAGCACTTGGTCCCTACACCAACAGTTTTACCTCTTACCAGGCCAAGGTAGACACCAAGCTTTATGAACAAACAACACAACAACATAAGCAGGAGAATGTGAGCTATCTTGTCCTTGTGAAGCAGTTGTGAATGCAAATTTATCAAATATATTTGCCAAGTCTACAGCAGCAAAGAAAGCCTTCCCTTTTAAGGTTTTTTTCCTAAGCTTCTTGGGAGACATAAATCTTTCAGGATCGTTGAAGATGACAGTGGAAGGAGGCTGCTGGTATATGTGGGATTGTGCTGAGCCAGTGATATGACATAAAACATAACTAGCCATGTTTCACGTAGAACAGCAATGTCAGGACATCACAGTTAGCATGCAGGGGCCAAAGAGGGGAAACTTTAGCCATAATACTTCTCCTGACCTTTTAAAAAGACATTCCAAAGTTTGTAGCCAGCTGCTGGCAAAGCTCTGTATCCTGCCCAATGTGTAGATAAATGTATAGAGGGATCCAAAATCATGGCTGCTGTGGTGGAAAGGGAGATTTCTGGGACGATATGGATCTATCCTGTGAGAGGTTTTGTGAACCAATGTTGGCCTCCTGAATTTGCATTGTGGTCAGGGGCAGCTTATGGGCCATGTCAGGTCCCATTTCCTTCGCTAAAGAGAGGGGCTGCAGTGCTCTATGGCAGTTAGCATCCTCTGTGGATCTTGCAAAGCTCAGTTACAAAGAACTTTGTTAGCAATAGTAGCCAGTCTAAAAGAAAAGGAATTTTCAAATCGTCAAAAACATATTTTTTTTGTTGACACTACTTCAGCCTCTCTGACACTTAATTCAAGGCAACTGCTTTACACCCAGACTCCTGTTTCTGCAGTGAAGCAGGACCCAGACGAGGGCTCCAGATGAGGACCCCTGGCCCGCCGCTGCACAGCAGGACGCCTGCTGCAGGTCCGCAGCCTCAGCCCTTCCTGCCACAGCTTCTCCTCCCGAAACTTGGGTCCTCGCCAGGCGCTCCACCTACAAGCAGCACTTGATGGCAGTCGGATGCAGCAATTACTGCCTCCAAACATGCCAGAAAATCCAAGGGGTTCTTTTCTTATTCAGTGTACTAACCCTTTTCCCAAAATGAAGTGGTTTATTCCTCTGTCTTTCTCGAGATACCACCTCCAGGCCTGATCTGTCCAAGTTTTAATCTAACCAGTGCTTTATTAGCAGTAATGCCAATATTGTTATTAATATTAGCATTAATAACATTGCTAATGTCAGTTAGCACTGTTATTAATGCCACAGATAACTGCGTAGGAGTTAATTGCATTAGGCCAAATTGGGCAGAATTCATACCAGAAATGTTACCCAGGAGAAGGCACTACCAGACATATTTTTGGGAGCAGGTTGGATAAGCACGAACAGCACTGGATTGCTGTGGTAACACCCACTCTTGCCAGTGATGTGCCAGTGCTGGATTGGGTGAGCACAGGCTCCAAACCTTTTTGAGGAGAGCCAAAATACACAGCCAAGCGAGGCCGGATGAGGTTTTACAGCAAATCTCACATTATGCCCCTTTGTTTCTCAGAGCTGGAACTGCTAGGCAGCTCTGAAGAATCAGAGTCCTTTCACTTTTCGTTTGTGAAGGCCAGGTTTCAAGCACTTGTTGCAAAGACTTGATAAATCTGTGGAGTTCCTGCTGTGACCGCCGAAGCCAAAGAAAAAAAAAAAAAAAGAAAAAAAGGATCTCTTAGAAGTGTCAAAACAAATCTGTTATTTTGCAGGGCACAGCTCACTTTTTGACAGACTTTAGATTAAAAGGGTTGGCCTGGGTGTGTACAGGATTTTTGAACAGCAAGCTATAAAGGCGGATTTCTCGCTGCAGTTGCATCAAAGAAGACGATGCTTCTTTGATCAAATATGCTCCTTCAGGAGGGCGGATGCAGCACCCTGCTCTCTGGGGCATGGCGGCGGCTTAAGTGAAACAACGGGACAAGCTAAAACAAGGGGAACACTGAGGCTGGGCCCGCAGCATTTACTGGGAAAACAGCAGTGAGGACAAGGGCAATCCCGGAGCCTCCTCTTCGTCCTCCCGCCCCGCCCCACTCCACCCAACGGCCGCCCCGCCCAACGGCCGCCCCGCCCCGCCCCGCCCAGCCCAACGGCCGCCCCGCTCGCCCAGCCAAGGGTTAACGCGGACGAGGGGCGGGGCGAGCGCCCGTGACGCCACCACGTCACGTCCCTGCGCCCGCTCTGATTGGCCGCTCGTTTTCCCGCGCGCCGCGCCGCCGGGGAACAGGCAGGGCGAGACGCGCGGTTGCCGCGGTGACTGGTGGCCGTGCCCGGAAGCGGGCGCGTACGTCCGCGCGCGCACGCGCGCTCCCGCCCCGCTCCCCCGTGGCCCGGGGGGCGCGCGCCCTCT